TTCCTCATTCCATAATCTTTCTCTGTCTGTCTGTGCGATGAGATACGAGTCTACCCTCGCTATTTCTGCAATTTTTACGTCACGTTTGGCTTTGCCACATTTCATCACGTCCTTAAGTAGTTTCCTTCTATGGGCCTTAACATCTTCTGTATGGCTCCCCTCCCATATATCTCTCTGCTCCGTCTGCTGGCTAGCAGTCCGTCCAGTACGTTTTAACACAAATTCCCGATATTGTTTTTCCATAGATTCCATCTCCTCCTCAGAGGTCCACTCTGTATCAGTGTTATGCGTTGGTGTGTCAAACTCAGAATGTTGTGGATCCTGTGCCATCTCTATTATGTAGTGTGGTTAATAGACTTAAGAGTGTATCTTAATTCTAACATCTCATGTGCGTCGTGAGTTACTCTAGAATTCCCTTTCAGAGCACATATAAACAATTGTATCACAGGATGCGTCAGTTTAACTCGAGCAAATAATCTCAGCCCAGCTGTCTTTGTTACTCTGCTACTCTGGTATTTCCCTTCAGAGCGCGTTTTGTTTGTATACCCCCGTTTACAATCACAAGGCAACGTTAGTTCACAACACTTTGATTAACACATCAGTGATTCGTTCCTGAATTCATGCATAAACTGTCTGCGAGAGATCCCGGAAGACGAGCCCCCATTATGTTGTATATGTTGGGTATGAAAATTTGTTATGTTGTATGCGTGCGTGGGTGAAATTATTATGTTGTATGTGTGGGTTATGAATATTCAGTGGAAATAATAATAATTAATGAAATTTGGCCAAATGTGTAATTATCCGGAAATATGTTAATTATGTAATTACGCACATTTTAATTATGCCAATTCGAGAGGTAATCGTATTAATTATGCGAGTGGGTGTAATTATGATAACGCAAGTCGTTATGATAACCAGACCCCGGTTCACCCCGTTATCGCTTTAACATTTACTGAGTATGTATTAGTGTGTTTATTAAGGTCACCAAGTTCAAATCTCAACGCAGAAGCAGATCTTATGCATAGATTTCAGGAAAGAATCACACAACCACTTCTGTATTGATCAATTTATTACTAATTCAACCTTAACTATGATATAGTATGCGAACTCTCAATCCCGGAACGTCAATACGGCATCAATACAGTATCATCAACGATTGTCTGATTTCACTTTGACAACGGCACATGGATCCCGCATAACGCGATGGTTGTTAGTGAGAGAGAGAGTCGTTAAAACATGCAAATACTATGCTAAGAAAACCTTAACGTTAATGAATGATTATACTCAATATTGTTCACGCAGTACCGCACTCCTTATTGATCATACGCAACCCTTATCACGTTGTTAACACCTTGGGTCACGGAACAGTTGAATATTCTGTAGAGGATGCGAGTACGTGCGGCGATTATGACTGAAAGATACTTGAAAGATTATACGGCGATAAAAAAAACACAATCAAAAACAGTTATTATTCTTAAAGGCACCAATCTCAACAGATACATCGGCAGGTTATCTGACAGCAGAACGGCTCGGAGTAAGGGCCTGCGACGGTGCTCCTTTTCCGAAGATCGTTATCTTATACCAAGTTTACTAATTGGGGACCAGATCACCTGATAAGGATCCGGTGGGCCACCACTCCCCACGTGAGCGTGGCTCGGCGGAAGGAGGTGCCAAGAATCAGTTCGTATTGATGGATCTGTTGGGAATTTATGCGATTAAGAGTACAGCCCACTAAATATTAAAGATAAAAATTAAGAATACTCTTATACGACGGATGGCCACCACTCGGTCTCGTTGTGATGCCTTCCCAGCCACGGATGACTTATGGGTTCGAGTGTGTTTGAGTGGTAAGAGTTGTCTTGAATAGTCAGTGTTCGGAGTCGATTCTTTATGTCAACAGACGCCTGGTGGTCGTGTGGTGAGGGGGCGGTGCGCGTCATACGTATCAGGCGCTCCCCTGTCACCGTGGTGAATTGCTCGGATGGCTGTTGATACGCTGTCGCAGTTCGGAACCCGGTCGGTAGGTGGCGCCCACAACTCGCTCGTAGCGTGCAGCGCTGGATCGTCGCCAAGTCGCGACGCTCACCACCGGCGGCAGCGGAGATCTCCGGCGGCAGCAGAGATTGACGAGCTGAAGATGAGTCGAGCCGACCCGCTGGTCGCAGCTCGCTCCTGAGTCGACCCTCCCGGTCGAGCTCGCTCCTGGGTCGACCCGCTGGTCGCCCTCGCTCCTGAGTCGACTCTCTGGTCGCACTCCTGAGTGGACCCGCTCTGGTCGCACTCGTTCCTGAGTCGACCCTCCCGGTCGAGCTTCTGAGTGGACCCTCCCGTCGCACTGGTTTCCAATGTTCAGGATCCGTTCCTTTATGCTGAAAAATCCCCCTGGATCCCGCCCACAAGGCGGGGCTTCCGATTTTTGCTGTGTCAGGATCTGTCCGTAGGCAGGTGTGTCCATGTGTGTGTCCGTATGTCCTTGTGTGCATCACTGACGGTATATTCCGTTGTCAACTCCCTCCATAAAACCCACGAGCAAACAACCAGATGTTACAAATTGTCTCGAAGTCGTCTCTCTGTCTGGGTGCAATTTATCTCTTGTCTGGCCTTCTTCATGAACCCAAAACACAGACGTTACAAATCGTCTCATAGGCGTCTTTGTTCGTGTTGCACAACCTGGAGGGGGGCAACACTCTCTCCGACCCGGCGCACAAAGAAATGGTTAAAAGTTTTAAGTTAACATTTGTCCCTTACTATTTCACAGTTATGATTCTGTATGTAACCTAAGGTCTGTCGTTTCCCATCGTGGTGCTTGACTCAAGTGTAGGTTTCCCCGAGCGTATACACACTCCTATCCCGCGCTGCGGGGATACAAAGACGGCCGGGATCTCCCTTTCTCTCCGACCCTGGGTTTAACATCGTTTTTTTTTTATTATGTATTATATTCGACCTGGTTGTGATTCATCCCGTTATCCTGGCTTTTCATAAGTTTTACTTTGTCTTTTCATGCATATACTTATTACTATTAATTTATTCCCGATATCTTAGGTTAAGGGGTAAGTTTCTTGATCCTAGGAATTCGTATTCCTTGGTGCCTGGATGGTTATATAAGCGGAATATAGTTTACGGTGAATAGCGTTAACATTGATGTTATGTGCGATATTATGTATTGTGATGTCTTTAACTTAACTTGTTTGTCAGGGCTTTACTGACACGAAGTTGCATTCCATAGCCCGCAGTCTTTGCCCCACCCTATCTCTGCTCGCCGTTGTTGTTGCCTGCCGTTAATTCAAGGCCTCATTAATTTCCGTCACCCCTGAGTAGGTGAGGGCGGTTGAACCTTGGAGTCAGTTCTGGTTTTTGTCTGCCTGCTTCTTCTTGTGTCCCCTGACCCCGGGAGTTATTATTCTACTTTATGGCCTGTCGAAGCCCCACTCGCTGTTGCTGGGCTGGTGTTGTTCCCGGCTTTTTGCTTACGTTTGCAGTTCGCCGTGCTCTTGATTTCCTTCCCTCTTCAACCTTATATTGACTATTCGCTCCTGTCTGGGTGCGATTCAATTTTGACTTAGGAAGGTTCTGATTGTCATATGCTTCGGGTCGAATTGTATAGAAAGTATTGAAGTATGGAAATAACATTTCATATTGACTTAATAATGGTGATGGTTCAGTAGGCGTAACTTGTGGCCTGGTTTAATTGGAGTGGGTGTGAATATCGATAACTTTAGCCTACCCTGTTGTTAAATTCCGACTTTAACGTTACTTTAATAGCAATACAGAATAATTGAGCTTTTTGTCTTAACTAGGCGAATGCGAACTTCTGGTGACCCCCGCAGCCGTGTTGTTCAGCTGGGTCTTGTGCCTTGAGAGATATACAACCCTCTTTTAAATCACCTCTCCCCCTGTCCACCTTCTGCTCTGGGAGTGTTTATTCTTGATTCCAGGTCCAAGGCCCCCTCACATCCAGACGCGCAGGGTTGTTTACATCAGCTCCCCCCCTGTGCACGTGTTCTAACTAGCTCGGAATTCCTGAACACACAATCAGTGATGATTCCTGGCTTTCTGTGGTTGTGATTTAGACAAAGGCGCCTCTGTTTCTTCCATTGCCTTTGAGTCGACACTGCCCTATTATTTGCCCATGTGCTGAGGTCATAGAATTCGTTTTGACTTCAGTAATATTAACATTCAGTATTGGATTAGCAAATGGGCAATGGTTCATTGATGTAGCTCGCAGCCTGGTCTCCAGTTTGAGCGAGCGCGAGGATCGATAATTTAGCCTACTCTGTTGTTGAATTTCGAATTTTGACGTTACTTTAAAACCATGCAGGATGATTGGGCTTTTGCCTTAACTATGTCTGGCTGACACTCCCACTGTCTCTGCCGCCTGCACGGGTGACATGTGCCCGTTCATCAGGCCTTATCTTCCCTTGAAGCAACGTTGTAAATTCTGCCATCCTAGCCCTCCTCCGGTTCATTACTTAACAACACCTGGTGTTTTGCAGTTTGCTGCGCTTGGTGTGTTTCACTCATTAAAAAAAACAAGTAAAAAGATAATATATAAAAATCATCAAATATTATTAATCTCAATTATGGAAGAAGGGTTAGTATACAACAGTGGCCAAACCCACGACCAGCCGCCTTTATCTCCCCACGCAATCCACCAACCTCACCCCAATCCCACCACCATACCCCCCAACCCTAGCCCAATCCCCCAACCCTACCCCCTAACCCTACCCCAATCCCACCACCATACCCCCCAACCCGAGCCCAATCCCCCAACCCTACCTTTAAACCTAACGCTAACCTAAACCCTATCCTAAACACGAAGTCGAATCCCAACCCTAACCCCACCCCTAACCCCACCCTGAACTCAACAATGCTCTTAACCCTAACTCGAACCATACCCCTATTCTCCGAGTCTAACCCTAAGCCGTCGCCTCTCTTCTTCTGGAATGCAGCTACCTGGAGGGTCTATTCCGAGCCCTAACCTCCCCACTGTCCCCACGCAGGAGTCCATGTACCTGGCTGAGAGCAGCGACGATGGGGGGCCCATCGAGATCCTCTTCGCCGTGCGGGAGGAAGTGGGGGCCCTGGCCAGGGCCTTGCGCGTGTTCGAGGTAAGGGCCCGGGGGAACGGGGGAGGGGTGGGGGTAGAGGGGGGGGACAGGAGGTGGGGGGGGGGTAGTTGGTTTCAGTGTGAACTGAAACACTCACAACCCCACCGCGACACTCAAGGGCACAGACCCCTGCGGGCAGCCGTTGAAGGGCCGTGGGGGCAGACGCTGTTAGCGAGCACCTCTTGAAGGCTGCACGGCGCATGGACTGCGGTTGTCCTGCCAACTGGACCACGCCCGCTCGTCGCTGTCTTCCCAGTACTGACACGCGGGCCCATGTGGAAGGTCGCACTCATTTCACACAAAGTGCTTGCCACAAATGAACCACAATACCTTGCTGAGCTTGCAAAGGAGCATCAACCATCACGCTAACTCCGGTCACCCTCGCAGCGGCTTGTGGCTAGTCATCGGACAAAGACGGTCACTGCATTGCGCGCTTTCAAATGCGCTTCTGTGGCCGTCTGAAACGCTCTTGCTTCCGATATGATGAAGCCAATGGGGCTACGCAATTGTTTTTATCTAGATTGAAAACTATTTTTTTTAATTCTAGATTTGAAGTTTTTTTTTCTACTGTGCCGTGTCCGTGAAACGCAGCGACATCTTCCTGGGTGATGGCCTCGCTCTCAATCGTTGTTGATGTTGTGATCAACTGTTGATGTCGTTATCGATTGTTGATGTTGTTATCGACTGTTGATGTTGCTATCGACTGTTGATGTTGTTATCGACTGTTGATGTTGCTATCGACTATTGATGTTGTTATCGATTGTTGATGTTGTTATCAACTGTTGATGTTGTGATCAACTGTTGATGTCGTTATCGATTGTTGATGTTGTTATCGACTGTTGATGTTGCTATCGACTGTTGATGTTGTTATCGACTGTTGATGTTGCTATCGACTATTTATGTTGTTATCGATTGTTGATGTTGTTATCAACTGTTGATGTTGTGATCAACTGTTGATGTCGTTACCGACTGATCAACTGTTGATGTTGCTATCAACTGTTGATGTTTCCGCGTGTGCCTCACGTGGTCTTCGCGTCACGATGAACTGTGCGGGTCACTCGACCTGAACCTAAACCACCCCACGTGAACCCGACCACTTGAGGTCTGGGACGCTGCCAACATTGAGCGGTTCGTGCTCGGCGAACAAAGCAAAGCACCGCAGCCTAACGGAGGAGCAGGAGCATCAACACGACACCAACTCTCTCTTCTGGAGCCATCTCGCTGTGGCGCGCAGACCTCGACATTGGCATTTAGCTTCCAAAACACATCGCCACCATCACACGCAAGGAGAGAGACCACCACCACCGGGGCTCGCCAGGTGGTGTGGGCGCGGGGCTGCGAGGTATGGCCAGAAGTTGGCAGCGCTCCTCGTATAGAGCGCAACGGGTTCTCTCCGTGATGTCCATGGTCTCATAGCCAGCAGGTCTCATGGTCTCATAGCAGGTGGACAGACTCGGGGGCGAGGTGGGGACAAATTCATGTTTTGAACGCCGAAACTCATGCACGAATGGAATCAGCCAAACACCCTAACGCAGCAGCAGCAGCAGCCTCCTGCCAAAGAGCGGCGAGACTCGGTGAGGGTCTCCTGGCTAAGACCGCTCTCACGGTTTCCGACACCACAGCTGGAAGCGTACCACGTGATCGGTGTTGGCCAAACGTCACCCAATGCAGAAAACACTCTGGAAAACAGTTTTCTGATTCAGGGGGGCTCCCCTTGCCCCCTGCCCCCAAGCTTGCTGCCCCCTGCCCCCAAGCCCGCTGCCCCCTGCCCCCAAGCCCGCTGCCCCCTGCCCCCAAGCCCGCTGCCCCCTGCCCCCAAGCTTGCTGCCCCCTGCCCCCAAGCCCGCTGCCCCCTGCCCCCAAGCCCGCTGCCCCCTGCCCCCAAGCCCGCTGCCCCCTGCCCCCAAGCTTGCTGCCCCTGCCCCCAAGCCCGCTGCCCCCTGCCCCCAAGCCCGCTGCCCCCTGCCCCCAAGCCCGCTGCCCCCTGCCCCCAAGCCCGCTGCCCCCTGCCCCCAAGCCCGCTGCCCCCTGCCCCCAAGCCCGCTGCCCCCTGCCCCCAAGCCCGCTGCCCCCTGCCCCCAAGCCCGCTGCCCCCTGCCCCCAAGCCCGCTGCCCCCTGCCCCCAAGCCCGCTGCCCCCTGCCCCCAAGCCCGCTGCCCCCTGCCCCCAAGCCCGCTGCCCCCTGCCCCCAAGCCCGCTGCCCCCTGCCCCCAAGCCCGCTGCCCCCTGCCCCCAAGCCCGCTGCCCCCTGCCCCCAAGCCCGCTGCCCCCTGCCCCCAAGCCCGCTGCCCCCTGCCCCCAAGCCCGCTGCCCCCTGCCCCCAAGCTTGCTGCCCCCAAGCCCGCTGCCCCCTGCCCCCAAGCCCGCTGCCCCCTGCCCCCAAGCCCGCTGTTTACTGCGGCCGAGATTCAGCCCAGAGGGCACCGCCCCCGGGGTTTGTGACGCAACTCCCTCCCGCCGTTGCGCAAAGTTTGGGATCAGGGAACGCTCGGGTGTCGCGTTGGGTTTTGCAACACCCTCCCCTCCTCCTCATCCTCCTCATCCTCCTTTTCCACCCTCCCTCATCATCATCAAAGCCCAATACATTGTCTGCACGCTTATGCAATGCAGTCTCACTGTTTTTCGTCTCTTTTTTTGTCTGTAGTCAATCTCACAACCAACCTTTGTTAAAAACTAATTCTGGATGTTGACTCTCATCATGACGGTAATGATACCCGTAAATGTATTGTAATCGATATAATAGAATACTCGCTTGACCCAGCGGTTCTCACGTTATCAAGTTACTAAAAGTAACAACATACAGAGGTAATGGGGGGCACGCCTCCAATCAAAACCGGAGTTAGTAAGTCACGTGTTACATGTTGTGTATTATGGAGGTGTGTGTAAGTGAGTCACATGTTACATGTTGTGTATTATGGAGGTGTGTGAGTGAGTCACATGTTACATGTTGTGTATTATGGAGGTGTGTGTGAGTGAGTCACATGTTACATGTTGTGTATTATGGAGGTGTGTGTGAGTGAGTCACATGTTACATGTTGTGTATTATGGAGGTGTGTGTGAGTGAGTCACATGTTACATGTTGTGTATTATGGAGGTGTGTGTGAGTGAGTCACATGTTACATGTTGTGTATTATGGAGGTGTGTGTGAGTATGTCGCGTGTTACATGTTGTGTATTATGGAGGTGTATGTGAGTATGTCACATGTTACATGTTGTGTATTATGGAGGTGTGTGTGAGTGAGTCACATGTTACATGTTGTGTATTATGGAGGTGTGTGTGAGTGAGTCACATGTTACATGTTGTGTATTTTGGAGGTGTGTGTGAGTATGTCACATGTTACATGTTGTGTATTATGGAGGTGTGTGTGAGTATGTCGCATGTTACATGTTGTGTATTATGGAGGTGTGTGTGAGTGAGTCACATGTTACATGTTGTGTATTATGGAGGTGTGTGTGAGTGAGTCACATGTTACATGTTGTGTATTATGGAGGTGTGTGTGAGTGAGTCACATGTTACATGTTGTGTATTATGGAGGTGTGTGTGAGTATGTCACGTGTTACATGTTGTGTATTATGGAGGTGTGTGTGAGTATGTCACATGTTACATGTTGTGTATTATGGAGGTGTGTGTGAGTGAGTCACATGTTACATGTTGTGTATTATTGAGGTGTGTGTGAGTGAGTCACATGTTACATGTTGTGTATTATGGAGGTGTGTGTGAGTATGTCACGTGTTACATGTTGTGTATTATGGAGGTGTGTGTGAGTATGTCACATGTTACATGTTGTGTATTATGGAGGTGTGTGTGAGTGAGTCACATGTTACATGTTGTGTATTATGGAGGTGTGTGTGAGTGAGTCACATGTTACATGTTGTGTATTATGGAGGTGTGTGTGAGTGAGTCACATGTTACATGTTGTGTATTATGGAGGTGTGTGTGAGTATGTCACGTGTTACATGTTGTGTATTATGGAGGTGTGTGTGAGTATGTCACATGTTACATGTTGTGTATTATGGAGGTGTGTGTGAGTGAGTCACATGTTACATGTTGTGTATTATGGAGGTGTGTGTGAGTGAGTCACATGTTACATGTTGTGTATTATGGAGGTGTGTGTGAGTGAGTCACATGTTACATGTTGTGTATTATGGAGGTGTGTGTGAGTATGTCACGTGTTACATGTTGTGTATTATGGAGGTGTGTGTGAGTATGTCACATGTTACATGTTGTGTATTATGGAGGTGTGTGTGAGTGAGTCACATGTTACATGTTGTGTATTATGGAGGTGTGTGTGAGTGAGTCACATGTTACATGTTGTGTATTATGGAGGTGTGTGTGAGTATGTCACGTGTTACATGTTGTGTATTATGGAGGTGTGTGTGAGTGAGTCACATGTTACATGTTGTGTATTATGGAGGTGTGTGTGAGTATGTCACATGTTACATGTTGTGTATTATGGAGGTGTGTGTGAGTGAGTCACATGTTACATTTTGTGTATTATGGAGGTGTGTGTGAGTGAGTCACATATTACATGTTGTGTATTATGGAGGTGTGTGTGAGTGAGTCACATGTTACATGTTGTGTATTATGGAGGTGTGTGTGAGTGAGTCACATGTTACATGTTGTGTATTATGGAGGTGTGTGAGTGAGTCACATGTTACATGTTGTGTATTATGGAGGTGTGTGTAAGTGAGTCACATGTTACACGTTGTGTATTATGGAGGTGTGTGAGTGAGTCACATGTTACATGTTGTGTATTATGGAGGTGTGTGTGAGTGAGTCACATGTTACATGTTGTGTATTATGGAGGTGTGTGTGAGTGAGTCACATGTTACATGTTGTGTATTATGGAGGTGTGTGTGAGTGAGTCACATGTTACATGTTGTGTATTATGGAGGTGTGTGTGAGTGAGTCACATGTTACATGTTGTGTATTATGGAGGTGTGTGTGAGTATGTCACGTGTTACATGTTGTGTATTATGGAGGTGTGTGTGAGTATGTCA